GTGTGTGTGTGTGTGTGTGTGTGTGAGTAATGGAGGGAAGGAATGAGAATAACATTCTAGAAGCAAAAGTACTGTAACGCTGACCTGCTTGGTTGCTAAAAGCGAACATGAAAAATTATTTCAAATGATTTACCCAGCAAATTTGCATAAATGATGTAAAGACTCTGCAGACAGCTGCACAAATATTGATCCCACACTATAGCCTATGATGTGGCGACTGTGGCTTAGTGGTTAAATCTGTTCTGTAACTGAAAGTGTGGATTCAAACTACTCCGAGGAATGACACATTGTGTGCCCTTGAAAAAAGAGCCTAACCTCAGGTTACTCCAGGGGGGTGAACCTCTAATTAGTGTAATAAATTGCAAACTAGTAATTTAGAATGCAGTCAAGAATAATCTGGCTATAACATCTTAGTTCTTCACATTTGACATGAGGTTCATATTAGACAACAATCGGATAATGAGTACTGTAGGCTACAACGACTGAACCTTATTTTTAGTATAAATTACAAATGACAAAATAAATGACACAAAACAAGAGGTATTTATGGACTATGGGAATGACCTGCAGAGAATAACCAGCACTTTTAATTCTTAGCCTCAAAGGGGAGTGTAGATCTAGGGTGCACCGTGACAGCCGGAACCATGGCACAATATCTTTGAACATGCATTTAACAACAATGTTTAAATGATTGTGGCAACTGCCAATTTTGGTAAATATGGTGCCAATTTTCAGTTTTGAAAGCTCTATAGATACACATATTCGATTTATGCATCTATAGCAGATGCTTTAATCCAAAGCAACTTACAAAATTTGATGCTAAATTTGATGCTATCAAAAAGATGCTAAAACTCAATTTTGGCACTTTGTCTTGAGAGGATCAGCATGTTTGTGACATTGCAAACAATGCTTGTTATAAATATGCCTATTTTCATTCTTTCATTTAGGCTGTGGGTGGCAGGGAGCCCGTCGAGTGTTTCTGCACTGGGGCCCATCAGACCCTCTTTAAACCACTGAGGTAAACTGAGCACAATGATGTTGAGGTTCGAACCTAAAACGCTTTCAGTTACCAGCCCGAATATGAAACCAATACCCGATCCCACCCCAAAAACAGGGTTGAAACACTCACTCTCGGCAGGGTAGAAGGGCTGCATGTCTATCTTGTGCACTTCTTTGGCGTAGTACTCCTCCTCGCTGCGCTGTCTCTCGCAGGTGGCCGCTCGCTCGTTGGCTTTCTCTTGCAGCAGGTCCCGTGTGCTGTTATAGATGGCGATGATGTCCCGGGACACCTCCTCGGGCTCGGGGTAGATCTCCGGAGGACTGCTCAGCTTGAGTTTACTGAGGATCTGACCGCGGATGGCCTCGATCCGCTTCTTTTTGAACTGCTCCATGTCCAGAGTGCTGCATGTGGATAAACTGACGGCCACTGTGGCTAAATCCAAGGTCAGAAGGACACTCAAGACGTACAAGTTCATTTTGTGCTTTTGTTTTTGTAGCTGAAGCGAGTTTAAAAATGCTAATTAGTGAATTAAGTTATGCAGAAGCCCAATCATTTCAACTCGATGGCAAAGCCAACTTAAACTTTTGCGCGTTAGCGCACTATTAGCAATGGCAAACGTCTGTTTATTGTACTCGCAAATCCATCCGAGGTGCCAACACGAAATGGTCTGTCAGATCCGTTAAATGCGGGAGAGAAACTAAGATCTTCATTCCAAATCACTTCAGTGCACAGAATCACGGGGCACTAAAACAGCCATTGATTTGGCCATTAAAAGTTTCTGCTTCTCAAAGCTCTGTTGATGACAGACGCGTCGCCTGCGGGCTTTTTGCGCGCACCTCCACCGCATCAGAGCGCCGCGAACTCTCTCCAAAGCGCCGCACAATCACGCCTCCCTCTCGCCCTCACTGTATGAGAAGATGTGGAGGTCCAGGAAAAGCCTCTGCTCACTCCGCAAGGCGCATCGCCTCTCCTCCTCCTCCTCCTCGCGTTTGGCACCAGCAGATGCTGCAGAAAATAAAGCTGTACCTGTCTCACGCGTCCTAAAGTTGCCTGACGAGTACGGAGTGATGGGATAAACTACTGTAAGAGCAGGCAAAAGCGAGTTCCTCTTCAGTTTACGCGCTCCTCCATTCCTTTCTGGTGGAAAACAACGGTCCCCGTGCCAGCACACACATGCACATCTGAAGGCAGCCGGTTGGAGAGAGATTTATATAGGACTGACTTCACCACGTGGTTGTGGTCATCACGGTGAGTCCGAGGGATTCGTCAGCGCGCGGGTTTACCAGGCACTTCAGTGTAAATATCTCAGCGTGTCCTTTCTCTTCAGCACTGCGGCCAGGTCCTAACGCCCACTGGGTACTTCCACTCTGGCACGACCAGACTGGGACTCATTTGTACCTCCCCAAAAGAAAGTCAGAGTAAACCATAAAACTTGCAAGAAAAAGATTTCGAGAGACCAAAAGTCCTTATAGGCTATTTCACCTGCGCAAAACGCGCGCAACCATTAGTCCCCAGCGGTAACGACAAAACATGTTGCCAGTATTTATCACATTATTATAGTGTTACATATAACAGGTAAGTCATAAAAACCTTTAGTGTTTTGTTTAAAGTGTCTTTCATATTGCTGATGTTGGGGATAAAGTGTACATACTATACACAAACGACATAAAAAATTCAAACTAATTGGGTGATTTGAATGTTTGTGATTACATTTTTGTAAGATTTACATTTTATATAGCAAGCCTTGTGTTCAAAACCATGTGAATATTTTGTAATGTGTATATTTGTACAAACATCCACTTTATCCAAAATTATTGTAACAGGGTTGGCATTTTAGCATCATCTAAAATTACTGACAGACAAAAAAAAAAAAAAAAAAGTCTTCATGTAGGATATCCATCATCAGGCAAGCAGTATTAAAGTTTCAGATATGAAAATGTTGACTTTCTGTGTTACTCAGCAGTGTGGTACAGTTAATATTTATAGCCTTTATAAATTACATGAAATGAGACAGACAAGTCTTAGTACAAAACCACCCATCTAATCTGTTCTATCTTGCTTCATTTAGTATACTGCAAAAAAAAAAAAGTTACAAATAGTAGCTTATGGTACTACTGTTATGACACAGGCAACTGATAAGGAATGGGAAAGCAGGCCCAGCTGTTGCATCAGTGCATAAAAATCTATCTGATAAACCTTTTTGGGAGGTTGCTACAAGTTGGGTGATCATAGGGCCGAGGCTGATTCTCTGTGTGCAAAATGTAATGGCAGGCATTTTTCCACTCTTCCTCAATCTCCCTCGCCGCACCTGCTTGATTTACTTGAGCTTCTGCTTTAAAAAAATCACCATTTGCCAAAGCCTCCTGTGCCCGGCCCACACTCCTGTAATCTATCAGGAGTGACAGGCCCTCAGAAGCCCACCAACAGCCTTACCCACCGCTGTAAACCAGATGTTATCACTAAATCAGGACCAACAAAGACAGATGTGAGACTGCATGCGAGCAAGGGAGAAAAAGGTTAAGGATGTAAGGGAAAAAGCTAAATTAGATTAAGTGTAGCAAAACTGCACAACAATTTTATCTCACGGTCCACCTGATTGTTCTCACAATCACTTGCCGTGACTCAAGCAAGCTGATGAAATGAGGAAGAGGTTCTGTGATACAGACAAGGGGGCGGCTATGAAAAGATGAGCAGTGAGGGAGCGACAGAGGAGCTTGACCCATTGTAGGGAGCAGTGTCAACATGCCCTGGATAGGGCGGGCATTCCTGAATGGCAGGTCACAGTGTTGTCGTGACAAATGAGCATTTCACGTTGGCCAAAATAAAGTGCTGCACCCTCAGAGGGTAATAGCGTACCCTCTCAGACACTGAGTAAATATATCTCAACAGGGTGTGTACACATAGCTCGACTGAGAGTGATAAAGAGAAAGTCTAGAATCACCACAACTGTCATTCCAGCAGGGCTGCACCTTTAAAGGTCAAAAGTCAACTCCTGGCAGCCGTCCAATCACAGACCCACAGTGCACCTCTGATGAAAGGACCTGGTATATTAGAGCATACACTCCTAATGAGCTCAAGCAAATAAAGTACACCATATGGCCCATAGCACATTTCAGTTTTAAAAAGTTTGTCCGTCTTCTAGAGGTCAGAATGTCAACCCAACTGTAGAGCATTGCACTACTTTGACAGCAGTGCCGCCCAGTGGTCAACTAAAACATCACAAAAGCCAATGTCGTCCAACCGTTCTCCTTCTCCAATACTAATTCACACACTTTAACCAGCTAATCAAGGTCTTCATGGTTACTAGAAGCTTCTAGGCAGCCCTCCAAAAGCAGGATTGGACCCCAAACTAAAGTAAAACTAAAGTGATCCAAGAAGTATTTGGGGGCCTACACTTTGTGTTTGCATCGAATGTAAGGACATTGAGATAGGCCTATTCAGATTAAAAGTGGATCAAATACCTAAATCAGGATTCCTCAGTTGTGCTCCTGGAGGTCCACTGTACTGCAGAGTTTAGATCCAGCTCTGATCAAACGCTTGTAATTTTCAAGCAATCCTGAAGATCTTTATTAGTTTGTTTATGTCTGTTTGATCAGTGTTTGTCCTAAGTAGCAAACTTGGGAGCCAACCCTGGTCCTGTAGTACCTGACGTACCACCAATAATTCCCATTTTGGATGTCTCCCTTATTTTGAAACACACATTCCAGGTCTTAGACCTTGTGCAGACTGTCAGCAAAAATCAGATTTTTTTTTTTTTCATATCCAGACATAATCCAGATGGGCTTTTAAAAAACACATATGATTCCCCTCCCCCCCCCAAATCTGATTCACACCACATTTAGAGGTGTTTTGAAAGTAGATTTGAAAATCCGATTTTTACAGATGTGTCTCAGTCTGGACACTCTGGGCTGCTCAAATCAGATTTCAAATTATCTTTTGTGTCACTCTTGACACGACACACAACGATAACGTCACAACCTGTGACAGAAATGCCAGAAGTATTCATACAGTATTCAAACGAAGCTGAAGCCGGCTGTGACTACAGCATGGAACATCACATCACATCACAATATATAACAGTCTCCTCTATCGCTGAGTTTTTCTCGTGAGACAGAGAATTTCTGCACAGCGACTCAAAAGGGCATTTATTTGCAGGTCGAGATGATGCACCTCCACTTTTCCTGTATCTGTTTTGAAACCATCATCAAAATATGAGTACACCTGCGTCATAACCAAAGCATCCCATGCAGACAAGTTGGTTATGTCTGAACAGAAAAATCTGATTTGATCACTTGGAATTAATAGTGCAGACAGTATGCCTGAAAAGATCTGATTTGAGGAAAAAAAAAAAACTGATTTGCCTGCAGTCTGAACATTGCCTTAGATTTTCTACTAATGCGCTGATGAGTTTATTCAAGTGTGCTTGATTGGGAAGACACTGGTCTACTCCGTATTCCCATTCAGACTTGTTTTGGGGTCTATAAACTGCCCAATAACATAACATCTGTTCTTAATGTCAGTGGCTAAGAATCAAATCAAACTATGCCAGGGATGTCCAATCATGCTCGTGGAGAGCCATTGTTCTGCAGAGTTTAACTCCAATCCTAATTAAACACAGTTCAACCAGCTAATCTAGGTCTTCAGGATCAATAGAAACTTCTAGGCAAGTGTGTTGAGGCAGGTTGGAGCTAAATTCTGCAGGACATTGGTCCTCTAGGAGCAGGATTGGACACCCTAAAGCAAAGCTACAGCGATCCCAGAAGCTTTGGAGCTAAATTCTGCAGTACACTGGGACTTCAGACCTCTGCCAAAAGTATTAGGAGAAATGCCCTCCCCCCCCAACTCCCATATCCCCAGGTCCTTCCACTCCCCCCTCCCACTAACACACTGGGACCTGCCCCAGTCCCTTTGTGCAGC